TACAACAAAACAGCAACAACATCAATCCACTGACGAAGAACAAATTAAAATATACCAAGCAAGAAAAACTTGTGTTTTCCAGTCTAGCCTGTTGGTGCACCATGCAGAGGACACAATTTTAAAGTTGTTTTAGGGGGAGAGGATTTGATAATCTCTTTACTCCTCCTTCTCTATAAGCTCTACCCTTTCGGATTATAGTTTTTATCAGAGAAGAAAGAAGAGAGGGACTTGGGTTCTCATCCAGGTTTCAAGGTTTGACAACTATATGATCATCGGCAAGTTACTTAACCTTTCTGAGTCTCAGTTCCATCAACTGTAAAGTACAATTACCCTTAATAGGCTGCTACAAACATTACAATATGTCATGGACGTGCAACAAATATTTCTTGACTTAAACCACAAAATTATAAAAACTGGAAAGATCATTAAGGCCTATGAAGTAATTTCTTCAGTGAAGCAATTTAGGATATTAGCTGCTGTTAATATTTAGTATACTTAAAAACTTCTGATGAAGAACAAAAAAGTAGCAACTTCTGAGTGCTGCACATTGTCATAATCAGTTATCGTCAAGTCTGACTTATAGCAACGCTACAGGGCAGGGCAGAACTGCCCCAAAGGCTCTCTAAAGAAGCAATCGATCTTCCTGAGTTCGAATTGCTGATTGGCTGAATAGCAACCAAGCACTAAAGGACTATGCCACTAGGATAGACCTAGATTTAAAAGAAAGAAGTCCTTCCAGTGGAGACATCTAAAATCAGATCTAGAATAATCTTAATATGAATTACAGTGCTGTGAATTCCTTGATATGGGTCTTCTAGCCAGTCTGGGAGTACCTGAGAGTCTGGAGGAGAGGAGGCTGGTCTGACTGAATAACTGCATCCTGAGTGTGCTGGAGCCTTGATTGTAACCTGCTAATTTGTAACTTCCCTCGTAAATCTCGTAATCATGAGTATGGCCTGTGAGTTCGGTGCCAGTGCAATGCATTACCACCCGGCAGAGAATGAGTGCGGAATGGCTGCTGGCAGACTGGGCAGACACAGTGTGAGCTGGGAGGCCGTCCAACCTCGGCCTCAAAGGGAATCGGCCTTGGGCTGAGTCTGACTTTCCTTCCTCCTAAACAAGTTGGTAGCTTTCCTCTTGCCTCCAAAATAACAAAATAAAATTTGACAAGTTGAGATCACCTAAAGGTATTTTTATAAGCCTCCTAAAGCGTAATCACAACAATATTCCTATCTGAAATGCACACATTTAACCTAATGGTTATACTTTAGAGATAACCCAAAGGATTAGAAGTCATGTATGGACAAAAAAATCTACTTTTCACTAAATCATGAATAATGCTCCATGCCTGGACAGAACAAAAACTAGATGGCATTTTAAAAACACACAACAAACAGCAATGAGATAATATCATTTACCTCTGTAGCAAAGATTCCTTTATCACGCCCATATAACTTCATCTCTTCTGGAAAATGCTGAAAGGTGTTTATGTAAGGAATGTGGCCCTCTTCAACAAATCTGTTTTTAAAAAAGTGTTACAATCAGAGATATAGCACTTACTTAGCAAAGTAAACTCTTTGAAAATGTTGTATTTCAAAGACAAGGTCAAAACCAAGAGAAACTGCTCAATTTTCCTTAGGCTCGCACATATTTTTAAGGGAAAGAAAGCGGATCGATCTGAGTCTCTGTACCCAGTGGAAGAAATCTATTTTCTAATGATTCTCTTAAGCTTCTCACTAAATAAATTACGTACTTCTTATTTGTCGAGACCAGACTTTCATTAAATCTCTATTCTCCTCACACAATCAGCTCCTACTCATCTTTTAACCCACTTCTTCAGAGACCTTTCTTGATCTGTTTTCCTGGCTAGACTGTAGTTCTTGCTTATCCTCCCATCCCTAGTAACTATGACACAGCACAGTAGAGTCTTGTCATTAGAAGAATAATTAAGGGAGGGAACCCTTGGCTGTTTGCTTGCCCCTCTATGTCCACTGTCTAATTAGGTGATTAAATGTTTTCAGTAAATAATTAAAGTCTGAAGAATCTTGTGAATTACATATAAGTACTTACAATTCCTATGAAACATATTTTAGTGAGGAAACAAAACAAAAAAATAAAGCTAGAAAAATTGGCAAGGAGAAAATAAAAGTAGGGAAAAAGGATAGAAAATTGGGGGTGGGATATTGCAAACTGTGATAGGCAATTGTTGATGTTTGGTGCCATCAGGTTGGTTCCGACTCATAGCAACCCTGTATACAACAGAAAGTAGCACTGCCCGGTCCTGTGCCAGCCTCACCATCATTCTTATGTCTGAGCCCATTGTTGCAGCCACGGTGTCACTCCATCTTGTGTGGAGTCTTCCTCTTTTTCAGTACCCCTCTGTTCTACCAAGCAGGACGTCCTTTTCCAGGGACTGGTCTCTCGACAACGCGTCCAAAGTACATGAGATGAAGTCTCCCCATCCTTGCCTCTAAGGAACATTCTGGCTGTATTTCTTCCCAGACAGATTTGCTTGTTCTTTTTTTTTTTTTAAACATTTTATTAGGGGCTCATACAACTGTTATCGCAATCCATACACACATCAATTGTGTAAAGCGCATTTGTACATCATTCTCAAAACATTTTCTCTCCACTTAAACCCCCAACATTAGGTCCTCATTTTTCCCCTCCCTCCCCGCTCCCCCCTCCCTCATGAACCCTTGATAGTTTATAAATGGGTATTTTGTCATATCTTGCCCTGTCCGACGTCTCCCTTCACCCACTTTTCGGTTGTCTGTCCCCCAGGGAGGAGGTCACATATAGTTCCTTGTAATCGGGATTTGCTTGTTCTTTTGGCAGTGCACAGGTATTCTTTGCCAGCTCCATAATTCAAATTCATTGATTCTTCTTAGGGCTTCCTTATTCAATGTCCAACTGTCCCATACTCATGAAGTGATTGAAAATATCATGGCTTAGGTCAGGCATAGCTTAGTCCTCAAAGTTACCTCTTAGCTTTTCAATACTTTAAAGTGGTCTTAGCAAATTTACCCAATGCAATAAGTTATTTGAATGTTTGTTAGCTGCTTCCATGAGCATTTGATTGTGGCTGCCAGCAAGATAAAATCCTTAACAATTTCAATCTTTTCTCCATTTACCATGATGTTACCTACTGGCCCATTTGTGAGGATTTTATTTTTCTTATATCAAGTTGTAATCCATACTGAAGGCTGAAATCCCTGATCTTCATCAGCAAGTGCTTCAAGTCCTCTTGGCTTTCAGCATGCATGGCTGTGCAATCTTCCTATAAAGGTTAAGATGCCTTCTTCCAGTCCTGAAGCTGCAGTCTTCACAGAAGCCAGCTTCTCTGATAATTTTTCCGCATACAGACTGAATAAGCGTGGTGAGAGGATACAACCCTGAGGCAGGCCTTTCCTGGTTTTAAACCACGCAGTGTGCCCTTGTTCTGTTTGCACCACTGCCTCTCGGTCCACGTACAGGTTCCTCGTGAGCACATGAAGTGTGCTAGAATTCCCATCCTTCTCAAGGCTGTCCTTGGTTTGTTATGGCCCACACAGTGGGCCATGCCTGTGCATATGCATCACTCACTGACGGCTGCCGAGTCACTCGGCTCATGATTACCTATAGATATATTATATGGATACATATACAGTATACGTTTTTAAATAAGTGAAGAAAAGTAATGCACAAAAATGCATTACCTTATGGTCTTTACTACCATTGGAGGTGGGCCAATATTTGGCTTTCAGTTTTCTAGCCATTAAAAAAAATAACACTGACTCAACTTTAGTTTCAAATTTTAATTTTTTATTCCATTGAAAAGAGGATTAATACTTTATGTAAATTTGGTGTTTTATGAAGCTTAAAGATAAAACAGGGTTCTTTGAAACAACCTTACAAGAAATGGCTCCCCCAATTTGGTTTTCATTAGTTTTTTTTTTTTAAGTATTTATACCTAGAAATCAGTGCTAATATTATTTTAGAACTATATTTTTAATTTGGTGTTATTTAATAAGTACAATATATTCCTTATTACTTTTATAACTATCCAGCATTCTATTCATATATGCGTTAGTTCTTGGTTTTTCCAATCAAGTTGATTCTGAGCCCTGACAACCCCATGGGTATGCAGAGAACTGCTTCATCCGTTTTCAAAGTTGTCACCTTTGCAAGCAGATCACCAGGTCTGTTTTTTGAGCTGTCTCAAGAGGGACTGTGAACAACTAACATTCGGCTATTAGTCAAGTGCTTAAATATTTGCATCACATAGCAAGGTGCGCGTGCTACAGAGCACCCAGGACGGCGTGGGAAGGATCACTTTGCCTGGGGGAAGCAGCAAAGTCGGTACAAAGTAGGTTTGGGGGCATTTGGGTTTTTAGCAATTTTTCACCATTAATAAAATGGTGTTGCTCTTAACTTCTTTCCAAATATTTTCCTCTCTTTTTGAATTTCTTTCCTTGTTGAAAAATACATTCAGTTTCTGAATCTTGTTAGGTATTGCAGAGAGAAGTTACATGAAAATTAAAAACCAGGAATTGGAAGAGATTAAAGGCATCCAGTATGTTGCTCCCATCCAACAGATCTCTACTGTAGCCATGTCCCCTATAAACACTGTTTCTTCTTCAAACATTTCACTCTGTGTTGCAATGGAAATATAACTAATTGGTACTTCATCAGATAATTTAAGAAGCACTACATTAAGAGTTAAATCATGTCTACCTGAAAAACATTTCCTGAACTCGTTCACCTCTTTCTATCTTCACTACCAACATCCTAATACAAGCTCCCATCCCTGCCTAAAGTATAGCAAAAGATAACTAACTGGTCCCCATTACTACCTTCGACTAGCTACACTCCATTTTCCTTTCCTGAATGATCATTTTAAAATTTATAAATCATGTCTCTCTCGTATTTACAATTTTAGAGGCTAGCTTGCTACTACACTTAAATCCAAAGTGGGTATGGGATCCTTTGGGGGTGACACAAATGTCTTAGAATTACAGTGGGGGTGGTTGTTGAACTGCACTGCCTGCTGCGTTGTTTCCCCTCTGGCTCTCACTGTGTTGCAAACTTCAATGCTTTCTGGATCTGAGAGCAAAATGCAGTCGTACATGTATTAGATGAAAAAGCAAATGGAGAAGAGGTGAAATCCATCTCAGCAGGATTTGCCTTTAGTTAAGTACACTAATATGATGCAACCAGCTCAGTCTCGTCCTAAAGGCTCTTGTCAGGGGGTCCCAACCCTGAGCTTTTGGTAAAACTTTTATTATTGTGAATTGGTGAACATCTCCCAGTTCATACACATTGTCTGATGTAATCCCCACAGGGGAACTCGCTGTGTGTCCTGTTTCCATTCTTCTTTCCCAGCCCTTATGGACTATGTCTGGAGGTAAGTGCTGCTCTTTTGACCTCACCTGTTCAAGTTTTCTAAGGTGTTCACACCTCACTGTTATTACTGTTCCCCACATCGACCTGTGTATTGCTGAGCTGAAAACAGAGCCATGAGGTTTTGAATCCAGTTTGAGACCTGAAGGTGGCTGAAGTGCATAATCTGAGGGGCTTCACCAAGCTCTATGAAATCTGGCCTCTTCTAGGACTTTGGGCCTATTCCAACTTTTCTGTTCCTCTGTTCAGGATCTCCTCATGTGATTGATCCCTTTCAGGGCAATTGGCAATGGTAGCCAGGGACCAATTCTTTTGGTCTCAGGGTTGTAGAGCCTAATGCTCAAGAAGTCCACTAGTCCACTGGACTGTTTCCATGTGTCTTTGATTTGTATCGCTCTTCTAATAGAGTGACTCTTTTGGTACGTGAATTATACCTCGATTTTAAAAAAAGACCACCTCTTCCTGGTTCATTTATTATTTCGTAGTCCCTCATCCCTCTACTGGTCCCTCAAATTCTCTTTCTTTAGCTACATTAGCCATTTTCGATTCCTTAATCACACTTGTTGTTCTTGCGTTAGAGCTTTTGCTTAGAATTATATTCCCTCTACCTGCTACTGATGTATGCAAAACGGGATCTTTCTTGTCATTCAACGTGTATTTTAAATTCTACCTTCTCAGCGAGGCCTTCCTTAATCACCAATCTATCATATCATGCTATTTCAGTCTTCTTCTGTACAGAACTTCATGTTTGATCATTTTCGGGTTGATGTACTTACTCAACTCTAGTGCTCAAGTTTATGAAAGGAAGGCGTGGTCAATATGACCCACAGGTGTATCTCGTGAGTCTAGATCTAGAACATCTTTTGAAATACCATGGAAAATGAACAATAAAGGAGACAGAGAGTAAACTGTATTTGTATCCATTTTATGGAATACAATATAACTATTAAAGAAACAGAAATTGTGCAATGAATAATGTGTGGATTGTCGTGTATTACTGCTGCTATAAACATATAGGCAAGGTCCTTAAGGCTATCTAAGGGTTGTAAATTTACCCTAAATGCTAGGGACGCTACTATGGGAGTTAACCAAGTGGCATTCAGGATCAGATGACGGTAAGTAGGTATTCTGCCCTG